CCGGCCGTTTTTTTACTACGGCCGGCCCGGAAGTGGTTAATTGTAGTGCTTATTTAAGGTCACAAGCAGCTAAGATGAAAAATTACATTAAAGTTGCTGTTTTTTTGCCTTTTATGAAGCTGTAAAACACAATTCTTTTAGGAAGGAGAATCTTTCCCCTTTTTTTTTTTCTTTTTCTTATCAAATAGCTTTTTATTGGAACAACGGTTTCTTTTTTTTTTTTGTTTTAAATTAAACAATTTACAGAAATCCGTAAACTGTACCATTTAAATCACACTAGGCAGTGAGCACAGTAGTATTCATTTACACATTTGTCCATTACACCAGTGTAATGTACAGAAAAGTGGTATAAAGTGTAGAAAACAAAACTTTATAAGATTATGATTATTAAAGGGTAACAATCGCAAGTCCATCAAGCAGCCCTATTTGAGAGAGAAACGGCAATTGCACATGAATGCTACAGAGACATGGAGTAGATCAACAGTACATGATCAACTAAAGCTTTGTGACTTGTTAATGGAAAGATCATTGGATGCCCCATTACTTTTTAAGAGCAACTAAATGGTCAAGGATACATTGAGCTGGAGCCAGTGAGGGATTTTAGCCAATGTTCCCGGACTTTGCTAAATTTATTGGGGCATCTTCTATGTTGGTAGGCTAACTTTTCCCTTTCCAGCAAACTATTACCTGTATATTGCCTATTTCAATGTTTTTTTACTGAGATACTTTTCTTTATATCCAAGGTCTTCTAAATGAGACTATGAAGAAATATGGTAGTTTAATCCCATTGTCTGAGAAAGATGTACTGACTCGATTAAAGGAAGTCTTCAATGAGGACCTTTCATACAGGTTTGATATTTTGTTTGCAGTTCAATATGCACATACACCCTGAAAACGGAGTTTTGTATCAGGCGTTCCAATGCTTTTAATTTATTTGAATGTATTACTATGAGTACCTCTATTTCTACAACACTTAGTCCTGAAATTGCAGAACTAGTTAACCCATTACAATTTCTTTAGGTGTTTTGGGGTTTGTTTTTGAGTGATTGGTGTCAAACCAGTTATCCTGATATGTGTCTCTTATCAGAAAAAGAGGTGTCTATATCTTCCCAAGATCACTCGGATTACTCGTGCTCGCCAAATGCTCCGATACCTTTCCCGATACTGGAACTTCTGGTCAGAGAGAAAGTTCCTCTGACCGGCAGTGACGCGAGGAAATGTGCACAGTGCCCACGTGATCAGCCCTCAGCCTGCTACTGCGCATGCACAGGATTTCTGAATGAGAGCGCTGGGCAGTCTGCGCATTAGCAGGCTGAGGGCCAATTACGTGGGTGCAGTGCACACAGGAGACAGCAGATCTTGGAGAGCGGTGTTTGCCCAGCTGGCCGAGGGACTGGTACGTTAATGAATGCTGCTAAGGAACTATGTGAGGGGATTGAGGTGCCTGCAGGGTGGGGGTCGTGTCACCATATTGTCAGATCTGTTTGGCCGGCCTTGATGCCGACTTCCCGGCAAATCAGCATCCAGCCGGCCAAACAGAATGGAGTCGGCTTCCCGGGCAATCAAGAAGCCTGATGAAGGGGACCCTGCGAGGCCCCGAAAGCGCTTGCCAATGAGATACAGCTACTGGCAATAAAATATTTTGCTTTTTCAACTCATGGTGTGCTGGTGACATTTTTCTACTTTTCTTCTATTTTTTTTCTACTGGGCGGTGGGTAATGACACGCCGCCTGGCTTCCTGATTGCCCGGGAAGCCGGCTCTATGCTACCGGAAGTATTGGTACTCGGTATCAGCGAGTACCAAAATATAAATATCGGTTCTCGATACCGAAAAAACGATATCGGTGCATCCCCAGTGCATACTCTTACTAAACATTTCTAAAGGTGCCTTCGTTGTTATTTTAAAGATATGGGTAAAGCTCCTTTTTAATGGAAATGACCTCCATAGGGTCACAAACAGCAATAAATACTTGATGCAGTTTAACAGAAAGTTGTCTGTCTTAATATTTTTTTTGTTATAGCCTACTTCAAATTGGAGAAATGTATTTGATTTTTATATATTTCTAAGGGCTTCATTCATCAATAAAGAAATATCAAAATTCAGAGCCAAGCATTCCAAGACTACTGCGTGCAGTTTCCGCGTCTTATACAATAAACATGTGCTTGACATGGATGACCTCACTACCCTTGATGGACAAAATTGGATCAATGATCAGGCATGTTGTGTTTGAATTTATTTTTGGTTTCTCATAGAATGTTTGATCAGCTTATTTCTGCTATAAAGTTGGAGTGAAGTGGCTTGTTTTTGACCCTCATCTGTCTGTAGAAAGTATGGGTATTGCTCGTTTAGATGGCATATAAAAATCATCTTTATCATGGCCAATTTTTTAGAATATTGATTGTGTACCAGAAAAAAATTGCTTAAATGTATAAGAAGTACAGTCAACTCTGTTATCCGGTATTCAACTAACCAGATCTTTCATCTAACCAGAAAAAAAAATCCCCTGTGTACTCGCTGTTTTGCTGATCTGTGACATTATCCTGGAAATTATTGTGTGCCTATTTGTCTTTGCTTTTGATCACTGCATTTCAATATTAGGGCTGCAACAACTAATTGATTATGAGAATAGTTGGCAACTATTCTCATCATTGATTAGTTGGAGAGAGAGATGAAAATAATAGCTGCTGCAGCCCTAAATATTATGAAGTCAATATAGAGTTTATGATATAGTGTGGGGTATAGTATTAGAAGAAATCAAGCAACCAGAATCTACATTTATCTGGAATTTACAAATCCCAGTGAATGCTGGCTAACGGGGAGTTTACTGTACATGGTTTTATTTGGCTTTTGGTGATTGGCAGTTCTCTTGCCTTTTTTTTTTTTTTTTTTTTTTTTTTTTTACACTTTTTTTTTTTTTCTTTTTTTTTTTTTTTTTTTTTTTTTTTTTAAGCATCTTTTTTTCTGTTAACCTGATTAGAGATTATCTCTTTATAGGTTATCAATATGTATGGTGAACTAATAATGGATGCTGTTCCAGAAAAGGTATGCAATACTATTTTCCCTTTTCCATAAAGTAGAGCACAGTATCTCTTGGTAATAATCACACACGGACACACACATAGGTGCCCTATGTGAGGCTTCAGCATTCAGACATTCCTTGCTTATCACTGGTTAGAATGAATCAAACAATTGCTGGGATCCTGTAAGCTCTGGGTTCTTATTAATAGTTCTCTCAAAAGGAACATGTCATTTTAAGACATTTGTAAAGCCCCTTCAGAAAATGGCAGTAGTGGTCTTTATCTTCAGGCATCAATTATCCAGTAGTATACACCTGGTTATGTTGGCACTCCAACCTGCATAATTGTTCTTAATTAGTGAAGCTGAGGGGCCAGCATGGCAACCAAGACAATCTCGTATTTTTAGAAGAGGTTGGAAAGACACATTTCTTATGACATGTCCCCTTTAACTAGATTTTTACATTTGTTACCAGCATTTAATTCCTAATAATGGCTCTCTATTTGTATCCTTTCAAACAGGTTCATTTCTTAAACAGTTTCTTTCATCGGCAACTTATGACCAAAGGTTATAATGGTGTGAAAAGATGGACTAAAAAGGCAAGCATTTAAACAAATTATATTTTTGATCTAAAGATTGTATGTAATCACAGTGAAATGTATTCAGTCCTTGACCTTTTATTTGATTTGGGCTTTTGAAAGAGACATAATCGGAAGTCTTTTCTGCTTTCCAACAGGTAGATGTGTTCAAAAAGATCTTGCTGTTAATTCCAATTCATCTAGAAGTCCACTGGTCTCTCATTACTGTGAATATACCCAAAAAGCTCATTTCCTTTTATGATTCCCAAGGCATACATTTTAAATTTTGTGTAGAGGTAAAGTGCATTTTATAAATTTAGACGTTGTCATTTTATGTTTACGTTGTCACATTATATCCTTTTACCCTTATTGTTTGTCATAACAAATGAGTGTTGTTTTTGTGTGTGTGTGAAAAATACAGTAAGGCGACTTAATTTTTTCATTATATAGAATCATTTCTCCCAGTCCAGTGTGCAATATGCTAAACAAGTGAAATGATTCCACAGTCACTGGCAATCTGTAGAAATTTGTTGTATAGGTTAAAATTATTTTTGGGAAATGTATTCTTTACAAACAGTTTTTTGGTAGGCATTTTTAATCTAAAGAAAGCTGCTTAGAGGGCACTCAATCGGAAACCACAATCGCAGCTTGTCATTTAAAAAAAGGTTCAGCTGACGGCACCCTACAATAGAACAGTTTTTATACTTGCCTCTCCGGTGTCTCCTATTGCAGCCAGGCAGCGTCTTTAAAGGTTCCCATACACCTATCGATTATTGCTCGGAATTAGTGGTGTTTTCGTATGGAAAAAAAATGGCAACATGAACACTGCACATGCACAATCGAAAGTCCGTTCTGTCGATCGACAAAATTCAGTTAGTATTGCTAACGAAAGATTATCGAAACAACATTGGTCTGTGCATGATGGGGTATTCAAGCGGAAATCGAACGACGGTTCAATGATAATCGCTGTGTTTGGCCGGCTTAAGACTCCTTGGAGTGTCATATGCCTTTGCCCACCACAGCACACTGTGGATCTATTCTCCAAGGATTCAGGACGCAGCACTGACATAGGGGTAGGAGGATGAAATCACAGCACTCTGTCAGTATCTTCAGAAGTATATCCAGTCTTGGGCTTCCCATGGAACGGAAGATAGTTCCCTAAAAGCAACAGGCAGAGAAATATCTTACTATCTTCAAACAAGTGAATGGAGTGTACTTGCAGGACTTTGAGCTTCACATTTCTACACAGGATAGTAAAGAACTTATGGTGTTGAGCTTTAAAATGGCTACAACTGAAAATGTACATAGTGTGAGAGAAAAGAATAACAGTTATGTAGGTAAAATCTTACTAGAAAATTACACTTCCATTTTTTTGTAGCTTTACTCTGCAGCTGGCTAGTTGTAATTATTTCGGCAAAAGGTGGCTCCAAAATGATAAGTAATGGGGTAATGACTGTGGTTTCTTGGATTCCCGGACAGAAAGCTGGTTCAGCTTTAGAAAATATTGGTTCTCACCATGCTTCCATCCAACATTTTTTAATATTATCCCAAAAAATACATATATTCTTCCATTACTTTTATTATTCAAAAAAGCTTTAGTCAGCTTGTAATGGGAAGGAGGGGATGGGGAGGAATTTGGTGTAATGTAGCCTGGCTTTACATCCCTCTTTATGTTTATGGTTTCTGTGACCTATAGAATTTTTGTATTCCAATGATTGTGTTGCTTACTTGTTTTGTGCATTTGTTGGCATCCATTGTGCTGCTCACTGAAGCTTCTTCTGTTGTTTTGTTTTTTTTTCTCCACCCCCTGAATGCGCTTGGTTTGCAGAATATCCGCAAATACCTAATTACAGAAGCCAAGGAGAAAAGTTACCCAGAGTTTCTTGATGGATGGCAGACCGCTGTTACCAAGGTGTGTTGCAGTTCCAATGCAATTTTTATTTTCCTAGCGTGGCTCTTGGTGGCACTGTCCTTGTTCACAAGCCAGACTACAGATCACTGGTGGCTTTAGAGTGGATGTTGGTCAGTGTAAAGCATATGTCCATGAATTTCAGGATTCTGAGACAGGATTTGTCCACCTAATTTACACCTAGGGGTGCTTTTCAGTGCAGTTGGTCTCAGGGTTGGGAAACTATTCCATAAAAGGCTTTTACACTTCTCTATGGTGAATTTGTAGCGGGTCACTGTAGCTGAATGTCTGTCTGTTTTTTGTTTTGTTTTTTCTTCTCAAAAATGTTATCTATTTTAAGTAAAATGTTATTGTTCAAGAACATGTAGTGAACTTTTAGTCATTTATCTGCTATAGAAAAAGGTTTATTTCTTGGAGCCACTCATGCCAGATGTCAATGTGTGAGGTTTTACTTCTTATTTTTTCTTTTCATTAACAGTGCATTCCACAACAAAAGAATGACAGTGACTGTGGAGTTTTTGTTCTTCAGGTGAGATCTGTGGAAATCCTGACATGATTTGCTCTGCATTATAGTACGTGCTTTAAAGCTGAACACCAGGCAAATGGATAAATACACAGCTGAAAAATGTATGAGAACTCTTTTACCTGTCAAATGATTTGTAATTCTGCCCATTCAGCCTTGAGATTTATGCAGCTCTGTCACACTACAGAGTTCTGTCGGGCCGAGGAGACCTGTTTTCTGTATGCTGAAGTTCACTAACGCTTACAGGTCTTGTCCCTCACCCAGCCTGTGACTGGACAGTGAAAGAAAAGCAGCTCACTGCTCAGCTCTTCTCTCTCCTAATCCTTGTCCTGTCCATTCTGGGCACTGCTGTAAAGGGATTGCAAAAGGTTGATAAGCCAAATGCAGGTGTTTACACTGTTGGCACTTAAAAAAATAAATACATTTAAGGATATGTTACTTAATACAGAGCTGTATTAACTTTTGTATCTTATATATGCCTGGAGCTCAGCTTTAATGCACTCCCGGGGAAAAAAAAATATTAAGTGGTCGTTTGTGTCTTTACTCACCAGACCGTTCCAGCCAGCTTGTTCTTAGAACGGTGTCTTTAGCGCCTCTCCCCCTCTGCTGCAGCAGCATAAGGCTGGCCACTCACCTGTCAGAATACCAGATCAGAGCAGCCAGCTCATTGGCTGCTGGCTCTGATCACATGGAGATTTTCCAGCAGGATACTTTGATCAGCTGATCAAGGAATGCCGGCTAAAAGGGAGTCGACAGCCCCACACACTGTGCGAATTTCAGCCGGTACATTAAAAACCGGCCGAAATTTGACCAGTGTATGGGCACCTTTAGGATCCTGGTGTCAGTCATGCACTTTGTATAGCCGGGGGGACACCGAGGAGGAAACGCACTTGAGTGATCACAGAAGCAGAGAGTCCGCTCAGATGTACTTACCAGACCAACTTCTTTTTTTTTTTCTTTTTTTACGCACCTAGATAAAAACAAGCAGTTAACCCTTGCAGTGTGGTTACTATTTTTCCTGGAATTCTTCTTTAAAGCTTGTCTGTCAGGTGGTGATAAAAGATTTAGATTCAACTCTTTTGGGTGAAAGTGCATTTTATTTCTGTGCATGCTTATATAGCTGTTTGTGGTGAGCTTTCAGGTTAGATTTTAGGACTTTTCAAAAAAGTGCTGAAACTCAATTTTACACATAAACATGAAACAAATGTGAAATGTATGCATTGACTAATAGTGGGGCTATCACAATAAAAGCCACCTAAAATTTGATTCCTATTCTACAAACAAATATAAAGAATGATGTCTATTGAGATTGGATGACTGTCTTTTAGACCTGCTCATTTTCAGCCATTCCAGGCAGTGATCTAATGACTGTGGAGCAATGGTTTTTAGGGAAATGCTAGCTGGGATGGGTGCTGCCTGCCTTTTTTATGGCTAGTTTTAAATGCTAGAGGTTTTCTAGTTTTTAACTTTTTTTTTGTCCCCTTTTTTAAATCCTAGTATTGCAAGTGCCTCGCTCTAGAACAGCCTTTCCAGTTCTCCCAAGAAGACATGCCTCGTGTGCGGAAGCGGATATACAAAGAACTTTGTGAATGCAGACTTATGGATTAAACATCAAAGCTGCTCTTTCTTGACCTTTTGGAAAAGTTCAAGCTCTACTTGAATTACTAAATACTTCCACAACTTTAAAACACGATTTTAGAAGGGTGGATAACCCTCCATCGTTACCTCAGATGTTTAATTTTCTTGGGACATTAAAATGGTCAGCATCAAAGAGCTGACACTGAAATATTTGTGGCTTCAGTTTGTTTTGTGTATTTAATATTTATTATGTAAGCATGCAAATACCCAGACGCATGCAGCAGTAAAACGGAACTGTAGATTCAATGCACCTTTGACTTGTAGATAAGTTACAAAAAAAGTTTTAATTTTAATGATATGTATGAATCTAGCAGGTACATTTTCCTGTGAGCTCAAAATCTGTATTTACTTGTAAATGTTATTCCTGTGGAAAAAAAAATATCACACATTACATATATTTTGACCAGACCTGTTATATTTACAATTTTTGTTCCATCTTTTATAGGTATTTGCAACACTTGTTTGCAAACATGTATTTTAGGAGATTTGCTTCGGCCTTATCTATAGTGCTCTTTCTGTTTATTTTTGTGTTTACTAAAACTATGTAATCTGATTTCTTTTTTTTTTTTTTTATTTTATTTCATAAAAGTTAAAACAGATTAAAA